AGCAGCAGATGCAAAGATTATACACTATGATCACATGGAATTTGTGCTGCATATGCAAAGATGATTCAAAGTATGCAAATCAGCAAATGTGATACATCACATGAACAGAATAAATGTAAAAAAAGAAAATAATCCTATATGATCACTTCAATGGAGATAAAAAGCATTTGATAACATTCTATATCCCAGGGCTGGGGAGATAGTTCAGTGGCATAAGCACTGCCTGGCAAGTGCAAGGCCCTGAGTTTGATCCTCAGTACACACACACACACACACACACACACACACACACACACGTAAATAAATTAGGAAAGGAAAACATTCTGGGCTGGGGGAGATAGCTCAGTAGAATAAGTGCTTCCCTGGCAAGCGCAAAGGTTTGAGTTTAATCCTCAGTTCCGCCAAAAAAAAATCAAAAACATTCTATGTCCCTGTATGAAGACCACTTCAAAAACTCTGAAAAATTAGATAGAAGAAGAATGTATCTCAGCACAAGGCTACAGATAACAGGCGTACCTCCAGCATCACACCAGAGGTTATGATGAAATTGTATCCTCTAAGGTCAAGAACAAGACAGGTATGTCCCTTCTCACTACTCCAGTCAACATAGAACTGGACATCTTAACAAAAACCATGAGAGCAGAGAAACACATAAAGGGCATCTAAAAAGAAAGGGAAGAAGTAAATTGATGTGCTCGTAGATAACATGAATTTATACTTCGTAAAACCCAAAGACATCACCAAAAAGCTCTTGGAATAAACAAATACAGTAAGTTTAGAGGATACAAACTCAACCTACAAAAATCAGTGGCATTTTATGCACTAATAACAAAGTCACTGAAAAAGAAATCAAGAAAGTGATTCCACAATAGTTTCAAATAAAATAAAACACCTAGGAGAAATTTAACTGAGTGATCTCTACAATGAAAGCTTCAAAAGACTGATGGAAGAAACTGAAAAGAACACATATAGAAAGACTTCCCATGTTCATGGATTTAAAAATGTACTATTGTAAATGTAAAACTATCCATACTACTCCAAGTGATCCATAGATTCAATGCAATTTTTGGTCAACTAAAAAAAATCTTCATAAAAATAGAAAAAGAAAATGCTCCAATAATTTGTATGGATTCACAAAAGCCTCCCAATAGCCAAAGCAATACTAAACAAAAGAACAAAGCTGCATGGATTGTAATGCCTGACTTTAAAACACACTACAATGCTGTAGAAACCAAAGCAGAATAGCAGTGGCAGAAGAGCAAACAAAGACCAAAGAAAGAGAATAGAGAACCCAGTCTATATATTTATAGCCAATTTTAGACAAAGGCAGTAAGGACAACTAGAATCTTATGCAAAAGTCAACTCACAATGGATCACATATCTCAATCTAAGACTTCAAACCATGAAACATGAAGGAGAAGCTTTAGGATACTAGTCTGGGTAAACATTTTTTTTTAATATGACCCTAGCAGCACAATTCACAAAGGCAGAAATTGACAAATGGGAACCAACAAACTATATAGACAACCTACAAAAAGAAAACATTGCAAATTATTTATCTGACAAGGAATTACTCTACAGGGTATTGAGGAACTCAAATAACTCAACAGAAAAAATAATAATAGCAACTAAAATAGAATCTGATAGACAAAATGGGCAGGGGATATAGCTTGGCGGTCTAAGCACCTGCCTAGCAAGTGCAAGGACCCGGGTTCGGGCCTGTGTGCCACATGCCACGCTGGTCCTGGAACCCCAGGCAGGTTGTGCCAGCCATCGGAACCAGGTATGGTGGTGCACGCCTGTAAGTCCAGCACTGGAGAGGCTGAGATAGGACGATCACTGTGAGTCCAAGCTGTGTAGCAAGACCTGTACTAAGCAAACAAGTAAATGAATATTTTTGAAAAATTTAAAAAATAAAAAATATACAAGTGACCCGAAAAGGCATTTCTTAAAATAAAATACACAAATCTTAAACAAGTATACAAATAACAAAAAACTCAAATCAATATTCATCAGGGAAATGAAAATTAACATAATGCAATATCATCTAGCCGGTTATTAGCAAAGAGACAAATAATAAATAAATAAATTCAGGATAGGAGGCAGAGAAAGAGAAACTGTCAATATAGTGTCAGTAGGAATAGAAATTACTACAGCCATTACAGAAAGCAGTATGTAGGTTCCTCAAAACTAGAAATAGAATTACCACCTAACCCAGTGATCCTGCTGGATATATACCCAAAGGAAACAAAATCGGCAGGCTGTAGAGACTTGCGTGCTACTTCAGCAATATTCACAATAGCTGAAATATGGCTGCAGTCAGCTCAGGTGCCCTCGGATAGATGAATACAGGAAAAAAATATACCTACATAATGGAATAGGATTCAGCTATCAGAAATACGAAGGTACCGTAATTTGCAGCAACACGGGTGGAACTGGAGGACATTGTGCTAAATGTAATAAACTAGGCACAGAAAGACAAATACCACATCTTCTCCTGTACATGTTGAAGCTAAAATGTTGCTCTCAAGGAAGCAAACTGTTACTTAGTGGTTACCAGAGCTGGGAAGAGTGCAGGGAGAGGTGGGAACAGAGAAAGAATGGCACAGGGATGCAGCTGTGGGGCAGCATCCCCTCTAGTGTTGTATATAGCACGGTGGGATCACAACAATTAGCTGTGTATTTCAAGAGCTTGTAGAGGGGCCGGGGAGATGGCTCAGTGGAATAAGCGCTTCGCGGGCAAGTGTAAGGGCCTGAGTTCAATCCCTGGTTCTGCCAAAAAAAAAAAAAAAAAAAAAAAGCTTGTAGAGGGGATTTTGAATGCTTCCAACACAGAGGAGTAATGCTGGAGATGACAGATATGCCAATTACTCTGACCTGATCATTACTTCAGTACATATATATGTGTGCTGAAGTGTCACACTGAGACCTATAACTACGTATAATTATGTGTCAATTAAAAATAAAAATTATAGTTAAAATAAGAACCACCTGAGGGCCAGGGAGAGCTCAGTAGAATAAGCTCCTGCCTGGCAAGCGCAGGGTCCCGAGTTCAGTCCCTGGTACCGTAAAACAAACAAACAAATAAATAATTGAATCAGCAGTAACCTATTTACATAATTGTACAAAGCATTGTTTTGACCCAAATTCAAATTGGATTGCTTCTTTTCAAAGGTTTTCAGAAAGATATCAGTAACTTTAGATTATTGGCATAATATAACGTAACAAAATTTTTTAAATTGCTTAATTTAAAAGTGCTCAGATGGATACACTTATATCCACCGATATAATGGCTAACGATATGGTGTGTTTTCCACTTTTAAGGACAGGTACAAGCTTCAGTCAGTCCATGGCAATAATAAAACACATCTCTGGATATCCCAGTTCACCAATCTGTCTTTTTCAATTGTTGAAACTCAGCCCAGTCAAATTAATCATGTTTAAAACAGCTTAGTTTTGGGGGGTGGCGAGATGGCTCAGCGGAATAAGTGCTTCCCTGGCAAGCGCAAGCGCCTGAGTTCAATCCCTGGCTCCACCAAAAATAAATAAATAATAAAACAGCTTAGCTGAAACACACACACACCAGTGTATATAAAAGTGGAGACATCTAACTGGTGTATTAATGTCACTATTCTGTTCAGAGCATTGTACTCCAGTTATGTAAGAGGACTGGGAGGAAACGGGATAAAAGTTATTCAGGATTTCACTGTGCTGTTTCTTGTGAATCTAGAGTTACCTCAAAAGAAAAAATTGAAAAAACAAGCAGGAGCTTATGCCACTGAGCCATCTCCCCAGCCCTGAAAAAACACAAGTAAGGAAACAATATTATATGTGTTTGATCTCTAGTATTCCAAGACAATGTGCATGTGTTATGTATACACATGCAGATTCTATGCACACGTGTGTGCACATAAGAGCCAGGGGCACGTATTTCTATAAAGATAATCTAAGAAATCATTAATTATTTATGAGGAAGAAAACTAGAGAAGCAACAGAATACAGATTTACTTTTAAAAAAACGTATTAGATTGTTACAGAGTCTCCCTACGCATCTCAGACTCAATAGTGATCCTCCTGTTTTCAGCCTCCCCATCTCTGGGATTACACCTATTCGCCCAGACTCTGTGGCTAGCTCCGCCCCCCGGGGTGGGGGGCGGGGCACATGCACACATGCCGAGGGGATCGAACCGCATTCCATCACGCTTGCCTAAGCTTGCCTCAGCAAGCCCATTAGTCCCCTGAGCTAGGGTTAGTCCATCGGTTATCAGCTTTTCTTTTCACTACCTATCCTTGGTGCATTCTGGATTTTGAGCTATGATCATTTTTCACTCAACAAATTATCTCTGAGGACTGATGAAAAAGTAGACATTTCAAACACAAAGCAAACAACACAAAGCAAAAGGCAGCTTAGCACAGGACGAAAGCCTAGTGATGGGGCACAGGAGCGCCGCCGGGCAGCAGCACCGGAGCATGCGGGGCGTGGGCAGGGCTCTTACGGCTGGAGACGCAGTAACACAGTCTGCAGTTGATCCTCCGGAACAGCTGCTTGTTGATGGGCCAGAGCACCAGCGTGAAGAGCTGGATGATGTTCACAATCAGCCCGGAGGTGATGAAGACGTAGAAGAAGATCAGGTGGCACAGGAACTGGGACTTCAGCAAGGCAACGAGGTCCATGGCGTGTTGTTTGTTCAACAATAAATAAATACCCGCTGCAGGATATGTCCAGAGGGAAGAGAGATCCAGGGCTCAGGAAAGCGTCTAGAACACACATAAATGTCAAACATTAGCAAAAGTACGCTTTTATAGTGGGAACAAAGTGCTCTTTAAAAAAAAAAAAAAAAAAAAAATGTGCTTGAGGTTAAACTCATTGTCCACTGGTTGATTTATTTCTATTTGGCCAACACTGATTCCTGGTGGAGGTGAGCACTCGGATCCTCCCTTTAGTTCCCCGAGTACTCCGTGCAGTCGCTACTGTTGCTGTAGATGGGGAAACCGACGCCTGAAGAGGTGAAGCGGTGGAGGCTGCGCTGGCCTGGGCTCGGACCCAGCTCTGCGGCCGCTGCGGGCGCCACGGCGGCGCTGGGGGCCTTGCCTGAGCCGCGTCCGCCAGCTCCTGGCTCCTCTTTGCCTCTCTTCCTCCACTTGCTCAGGCCTCAGCTCACTCCTCCCTTCCAGCGGGACTTCCCTGGACCCAGGCTTCTTGTTAGGGGCACTCTGCTGGGGCAGCTCCCGCGGGAGGACCCCACACAAGTACACGTTGCTCAACTCCGCCAGCACAGTGGAAGGCCCAGCCTCCTCTCAGGACTGTCCGCTTCGCCATGGTTATATTGGAAATTATCAGCATCTGCCCAGAAACCTAGAGCTGCTGTCTGCATACAGCTGGAGCTCAGTTATTTTTTAGTATTTTTAGAATGATTTAATGAAGATAGACAAGGTCTGAACTTTCCATAATAGCAAATGCAAAAAATGATGCAGAAAAAAATGTGCCCTCTCCTGCCACCCACACCGCTTAAGAGTTCTACAATCAGAAGAAACTGAACAAGCAGAGCAGCCTAGACCCATGGTCCTGTAATTAGCATCCAAAAGAAGAAGAAAACAACTTCCTGGTGTAGCAAATAAAGACCTTGAGAAAAGGGAAAGGCAGGATTTACGTAAACTGATGAAAAGCGGGTGGAAGCATGGCGCCTGGAAGCGAAAGTCACGGCAACTATCCCAGAAAGGTGGAAGTTCTATGACCAACCTTTTAACAGTAACAGCTGACAGATCTTACGTTGTTTCAATATTATTTTTAAAAAGCTTCATAATGCAAAAAATGAATAATCTACTGATAGTTTCATATGTATCATATAATACAAAGATTCCCCCAAATCCAATGAGATGAGTATTTCCCATTTTTTCTGAATGAGAAACTGAGGGCAGGCCAAATAGCTCAGCGGATTAAAGCAACTGCAAGTAGGCACAGGGGCCAAGGATGCAACCCCCCGGGTACACTGAGACAGCAATTGAGACTGGGCATGGTGGCACACTTGTAATCCCAGCTCTTGGGAGGCTGTAAACAGGCGGATCACTAAGAGTCCGATCTAGTAGTGAGACCCTGAACACCCTGCAGACCCTTCCCTGAAATACAAAAAATAAATAAAGAAATAAACTAAAGAAACTGAAACCACTCCCAGGTTGGGTAGATGGCTTGCTTACTCTTAGTGCTTCCGTCAGCTGATCTTGGGCCCCGCTTCAAGGTCGTGCTCACCTTCCAGCACCTGTGCAGGCTGTTGTGCTCTGGAGTTGCGAGGAGGGGGCTCTCCTCTGCCCAGAGCATGCAGGGGAGACCCAAAGGGCAAAAGACAATGTGGCCAGCAGTGAGGCTTATGGTCACAAAGTATGCTGAAAATGGGGAAGATGAGACTTGCGCCTCCATCACCTGCACTGCATTTGGGGAGGGTCACACTTATGAAGACAGTCCCAAGGGGCACGCTTACACCTGCAAGGACCGCCTGATGGAGGAAGGGAATGCCGTGGGATTTGGGCCTGATTTCCCGGCCGTCAGCCCGGCTGAGACTCTCCATTCTCTAGGCCCAGAAGCTTCACTCTGGCACAAAAAGAGCCTCTGCAGGGTCAAGGGTCACCTCAGGCCCTCCCTGCCAGCGTTTCCAGACATTTGCCGGCTGTGACCCTTCTCTTGGCTTCCACACTCCAAGCGTTCTGGGAGGAACAGGCAGGAAACTGGCTTCACTCCCCGGCACTTGACTTTAGCATAAGCAGGATTCATTTGGGCACAGCCTGGCAGTCTGATGTTGAATATTCATGTAACTGCCTAATTGTTCCTGGATTAACCACTAATAACTTCCAGGCAATCTAACCACAGAATCTGAGTCTTTACTGGGGTTTAGTGTTTGTAAAATGTGTGATAAATCATTTGCTTTGCTGATTTAACAGTAAGAAAAGGAAGTCAACTGACACCACAGATTCAAGGATTATGAGCTGCATTCCCCTGCATCTGACTCCGGGTTTAGAGTGCTACAGGAGAAAAGAAGGATTTTTTTTTCCTTGCAAAATTTTAAGGACGGGGCTTTGCCCAATAGCTCATTGCTTAAAGTGCCGCTTAGGTAAATGCAGATAGGCGCATAGGACCGTGGTTTGATTCCCAGCTTCAGAAGCTGTACCAGACCCACCCTTAAGGCAGCCTGAAGTAGCCAACAATAAATAAATAAATAACTCATTCTCAAAATTTTAAGGACAACCAGGGCCTCAGGTGGAACTCTCACTAGTACCACAGTATCATCTAATACTGAATCAGTGGGCTGGAGAGATAGCTCAGTGGAAAAAGTGCTTGCCTGGCAAGCACAAGATCCTGAGTTTGATCCCTGGTACCAACAAAAAGTAAATAATAATAATAATAATAATAATAATGAATCAATGATATCTAAGGACACATGCACAAGTTTCAGGAGGAAGCAGACAGCCGAGCCTTGATTTTTATCAGTCCCAAAGTGTGTGACCTCCACGTGTGTCCTCAGATCCTTGTGTGGAAGCTGGCATAGGGCAGAAGCTCTGGGCTGCCTGAGTTTTAAGATCCGCCCTGTGTCTGATCTGCAAAAAGACACGATAGATTTTAACCAAAATTCTAGGTGTGGTAATGGTTTTAAATTTTGTGAAGCTTAAGCTGGTTGCCGTAGTTTGGATGTACTTTGTAGCTCCAAGCTTCATATGCTGGATGGTTTACCCTCAGCAGGGCGATCCTGCTGTCTCCTGGAGTATTGGTTCTCAGGAAAGTGCATTGTCAGAAACTCCATTCCACCTCAATTCCCCTTCTACCTATCTTCCTGAAAGAATTAGACATCCCATTACAGTGCCACATGCATACCAATGTTTATATCAGCACAATTTAAATAACTATCTGGGAAGCAGCCTCTATAAACATGAATGGATAAAAATATTATGGTATATTCTCTGCCATAGAGAAGGACAAGCTTCAGTCATTCATAGGAAAATGCAGTCATTCATAGGAAAATGGATGCTCCTTGAGGCCATTAATGTTAAGTGAAATAAATCTTAAATGTCACATGCTTTCTCTTACACGAGAAGCTTAAAATATAAAGAGCAAAATAATAGATCAGAGGAAACTGGGAGACAGATCTTTTGGAAATGGGAAGAGGGACCAAGAGAGAAGGAAAGGAAGAGGGAAAGATGAAAAAATAAGATGTGTTATGCTTCCCAGTATAACCATTGTGTACTGAAAATATGTGCTGATGAGAACTGGGGGGGGAGGGGTACATTGTTATAAAAAGTAAGGTCCAGCCACCCCAATTTCTGGTTCCCAGTCCAACCACATGCTGTCTTATGTCCTATGCCTCCACCATTATGCTGTTCACCACGAGACCTCACCCAAAGCCAACAAGCAGCAGGTACTATGTGCTTTTCAACCTACAGGACGTAAGCTAAAGAGACATCTTTTCTTTATACAAGAGCTAGTTTCTAGCATTTTGTTATAGCAATATGTTATGGTTTGTATCTAGATGTCCCCCCAAAGCCTCTTGCAGTCTTGGGGCAGCTACTGGAGTTTGTGACTGATTGCTGTGGGTGTGGATGCTGCACCTGCCCTGGGGCAGGTAATATGCATTACAGTGTGAGGAGGGGAGAGAAGCTAGCTGCTTGAGCTGCTGTTACCTCTCCCTGTGCTCTTGCTCTTTGCCGCCACCATGAAAGGTTGCTCTTTGCCATGTGCCGCTCTGCCTTGGACCCCGCTGAATATGGACTGAAACCTCCAGGAACTGTCTGCAAAATAAACCTTTCTTTCCTTCATTTTGAGTGTCGGTATTTGTCCCAACAATGAGAGAAGAGTAACTAAGACAGAATTGAAAGTGAAAAGAAAATGAACTAGATTCATTCTCAAATTTATATGCATAAAAATTATAAGAATAGTCAAAGAATCACCTGAAGGCACAGGTGTGGTAGCACATCTCTGTAGATACTCAGGAGGCTAAAGCAGGAAGACTGCAAGTTCAAACCCGGCCTTGACAATTTAGCAACTTAGTGAGACCCTGTCCCAAGATTTTCAAAAAGGGGGTGGGCCTGGGGATACAGCTGAATATAAATGCTCTGAGTTCAATGCCTAGTACCACACACATAGAAAGAAAGAAAGAAAGAAAGAAAGAAAGAAAGAAAGAAAGAAAGTGCTATGAGTTTATTAAGTAATTTAACAGACTTTGACTCTTTTAAATATCTTTTTTGAGATGTGTTCTCACTCAGTAGTTTAGGCTGGCTTTTTTTTTTTTTTTTTTTTTTGGCAGAACTGGGGATTGAACGCAGGCCTTGCGCTTATTCTACTGAGCTATCTCCCCAGCCCTAGGCTGGCTTTTGCACTCACTATGTAGCCCAGGCTGACCTTGAACTCACAGCAATCCCTTTGCCTCAGCCCCCAGAGCGCTGGGATTACAACTGGGTACCACCACACACAGCTTAGCTCCTTATTAAGGCCAAATTATATAGAGGTGTCCACTGGATAAATATTGATGTGCCTTAAATTTACTCTTGATAAAAAGTTTGGGGCAACCATCCTTCCCATCCTGAATAAAGGAATGCTTGCTTTTCTAATGTGGCAATTATCCAATTTAATGTCAGGCCAAGAAAAGATGGTATAAATATCTGAGCAGTGATGAAAATAGCTAGAGAGAAAATATTTTTAAATGCTTTGCCTATTTCCCTTTCAGCAAGAAAGTTAAGGGGAGAATCTTTTCAGCAATTTCACTTTAGAAGGACAT